ACTATTCTCCCATTAGAAGTTCTCATCGTCTTGCAGCGTCATCCAGAAGAGCCGTGGACGTGTGGGCTCTGGGATCGCCACCTTATTAGATGCTCATGTGAGCGCTAACATTTTCCAGCCAGTTGTCCAACATTTTGTCTGTAAATAATGCCAGGCTTATTATCTTTTTCTAGTCAACATTTACACCACATTTCTGTTCCTTATCTCACTGTATTGTCTAGAACCTCCAAACAGTTGTGGCTAGTACTGTAACCGTGGGCTTCCTGCCCTAATTTAATGGGGAGGGTGTTGGTGCCTCTTCCTTCTGTTGGCCACCTGCCCGCAGGAGGTGCCTGTTATCTGGTTAAAAGGGCTTCTTATTTTATGCCTCATCACTGAAATCTCAGTTACCTGCAAGCAGGGTATCCCCTCCACCCCCTACGCCCACCCCCTCCAGTTATCCTCTATGCTTTGAATTTCAGGCTCTTCCTTTTGGCTGTTTTTTCCTCTAAAAGAAAAAAAAACCAACAACTGTGCTGCAAACAATGGAATTGAAAGACACAAAAATGAAAAGCAGCCTTACAAATAAGTGCAAAAGGTGTCTATTCTCTTTTCTTATCACACAAATGATATTTCATCCACAAGATAATAAAGCAGGTGAGGTGGATTCAAACATCTGTGGATATAAATCTCGGCTCTTCCGTGTGACCTAGGTGGGTACTGCGTTGTCTCCTGGGCTTGGTTTCTCCATCCGTCAAATGGGGTGATAATTCCGCCTTAAAGAATTGACAATATTTAGTTACTCTTAGTTAAGAGCCACTCATTTATGTGTGTCTCATTATGTGTCCCACATGTATTTACTCCTAATCTTTGGGAACCTCTGACATGGGAGGTCGTAGAGCATTTGGTGAGGTATCTGATGTGTATGAGGTGGTAGGACAAGGGTCATGGCCATCTCTGCAGTCATCACGGTGTTACCTTCATCTTGGGTGACCTCGTCAGAGGAGTCAGGGAACGGGGAGCCCAGGGATTCCAGTGCCACGGGTCCTGTGTGTGCCAGTAGTGGAAGCTTGGTGATTCGGACTCAGTCTCCAGTTAGGATAGCATGTGCTGCTATAATGGAATTGTAACACTCATATTCATAAGCCCAGCCCTTTGTGATGGATGCTAGCACGGATTTCTGTGCCAGCACTGCACTGTTTTAATTACTTGTGCTTTAGAGTGTCTTTCTCTGGGATGGGAGTAATTCTCCCTTAATGTTCTGTAATGGGCAGTCTTACCATTTATTTTATTTTGTCAGTTTTCATGACTTCAGATGGATACTGCCTTTCATTGACAGAATTAATTTTAATTTTTAAATTAATTACTTTGAAGAGAATCAAAACCTTTGTGATGCTTCTTATCTTCCCATTTAGGAACTTATGTTTCCATTCACCCAGACCTTTTATTTCTCTCACGGAGGGGTGGTGATATTCTTTAGTTTATGTTATAGGGCTGTTCGAAGGACCGAACTAATGCCTGCATGTGTATGTGTCAGCTATGGAGAGCGGGTCTTTTCCGTCTGTCATCTGGTCAGTTACCGTGTGCGTGTGCGTGCATGTGTGTGTGTGTGTGCACGCGTGTGTGCGTGCGTGTGCGTGTGTGTGTGTGTGTGTGTGTCCTGCCCCTCACTGCCCTGCGACTCTGGGCTAGTTTTGGGGAGAAGTGTCCTGTCTTTTCCAGGGAGGCAGTCCCTTCATCCAGCTGCATTTCCGTCCTGTGTGGCCTTGGACAGGCTTCCTCTGGATAACCCATCTTGGGGCTTGCTTGGCGTCCCCTGGAAGCCCCATGGTGAGGACTCATAGGCCCCTTGCTTCTGCTTGACCCTAGACTTGAGCACCGGGTGGGGTCTGGGCCCATTCATATGTTTTGGATAAGTTTTGTCGGTTTTCGTGGTGGCTTCCAGTTGGGAAGCTCTTTCTGAGACCTGAGTGCCCCGTCCTGGGCCACGCTCTCCATCCTGTGGAGCCCAAGGTTCTGCTGGTGGACAGGCTACCGCGGGACATGCCTTCCTGGCTGGGGCCAGGGTGTCACTGCTGAGTTGTTGCCAGACCTTTGCTGTGTGTCTGTGGTTTGAAAGCATGATGTCGGCATTTGGGTGGGAACGTCCCTCTGTTTTAACTTCCTTGTGTTGCCAGCATCCTTCATCCTCAACGTTCTGTCATCTGTGCCTGGGAAGCAGCTGTGGCATCGCTGGGATGCAGGTCCCGTCTAGGTGCACCTGACAGCACCGAGCACCAGTGCAGATCCTCAGCTTTAACTGTGGTTCTCCTTTAAGCTGACCACAGGGTCTGGCAACAGCGTTCTGAAACTTTATAATTACTTATAAAACTTTGCCTTTTCTTCGATTCCCTTTCATTCATGTATTTCTCAGTTTGTCTTCATAAGCGCCTTCTTACTCTGTGAAAACAGAGTGGCCTGTGAGATCAGTAAAATACTGAATTTAAGTTTTTTGATGAAAGGTATTCTGTCCCCTTTTGAGAGGCCCCAGACTTCATTCCAAACAGGCCAAATAGCCTCATCATGAAACTTGGGATTTGTTGAGTGTCTAAATAGTCATTGTTATGACTCTAAATATTTAGTGTGAGAAAGCTAGACAGAAGGAAAACTTTATATTAACTCAGGAATTTCTGGAAGATATCAGAGCCACTCAGCAGACATCAAGAGGTCCTTTGTTCCTGAAATATTTTCAAAGTAAGTTAAGACATTTCTTTTTTGCCCAAGTTTGTATATTCTTTAAGATGTCAAGTTTATGTCGTGTCTGCCTGTGAAACTGCGTGAGAAGCGCTGTTTTGCCTGATCAGCGATCAGCTCCCAGAGAGTTCCATGACTTCTGTGGGTGTGGGTGCAGCCAGCCAGGTCCCCGCAGGACGCCTTTGGGGCTGTGCTTGGCGGGGGGTGTGGGAGGTGGAGGTCGCAGCTGTGGGTGCCGGATGGGGCCATGGAAACAGCCCCTAGAGGTTTGTTCCTGATGAGGTGCTATATCTTAGTAACTCTTTTCAGTTCATCAGGTTCAAGAATCATGTTGTCTTTTTTTTTGTCTCCTGTAAAGTGCAACATCCACTTTCTTAAAAATAGACAAAAATGGTTGAAGTGGTGAGCAGCTTGACAGGCGACTATATGTCATTTTTCTTTAATTGTGGATTAACTTATTTTGCCCATTATAAAAAGTAAATCTCCCAAACGTATGTTGTCAGTTGGAAGGCGTAAGCCTGAAAGGTGCATTTGGAGGTGGTCCTGGGGTATTTGGATGGGCCTCCAGGCAAAGGTTAGTTCTCTGGTGATGAGGGATACCTCTCAGAATGAGATGGTTAGAGGTGATGACAGGCATATATGATACACTGTCATAATGTGACCTGGTAACCTTGCCAGACACACCAGCTCGTTGTCGTTCAAAGACCCTCACGCCTGTGTGACCATGCGCCTTTTTTTTTTTTTTGTAAAACTTGTGGTCAACTTAGCCACTTGAATTTAGAGGTGTTCCACTCAACATAAACATTATAACACTTTCCAGACTTACAGATTCTTAGAGGACCTTTCCTTCAATGCCTTTGCTTGTACAGGTGATATTCAGCTTTGAGCAAATAATCTTGTGTCGGGTGTCTCCCCTTTTGATCCTAAAAGGTCAGCATCACCTCTAAACATCAGCAGTCTTTACAGCTTGCAGGTAGCTGACATGTTCAGCACCTGACAGTGGGAGACTTGTGTGACATGTCCTAGTCACAGTAACTAGCATTTGTCTCACATTTACCGTGTGTTGGATCCTAAGTCTTTAGGTGCATGCCCTCACTTCATCCTCATAAAAGCCCTGGAGGGAGATACTATCTTGGTGTGGATTTTGTAGCCGGGGACCCTGAGGCTTAGGGAGTTGGTGATCCACCCACAGGTCACCTGCTGAGATGGGGTGAGGTCAGGAGGCGGCCCAGGCTGTCTGGCTCCCACGCCTGATTCTTAGCCGCTGTGCGCAGCAGGACCTTCTGCAGTGGTTTTCTACTTTCTGGACCCGTGACGTCTTCCATGTCAGGTCGGAGGCAGGGCAGGTTTTGCTTCCACTTGTTGAATGATCAGGGTAAGTTAGTTTAACTTCCCTGAGTGATGTGTTCTCCACACAAGGACACCATGTCACAAGCAGTGACCATCTCAGATAAACAGGCACAACGGTGCTCAGGACTCCCGTCCACGGAGCGTTTGCTTTGTGCCGATCTCCCTGTTAAGTCCTCGAGTGAGTGCGTTTCATTTGGACTTGGGGAGGCTCAGCGGTGTTCCAGGGCCGTGCGCTAAAATCCTCCGGGTGGCGGGCTGTCTCCCCTCTGCCCTGTGGCGGTGCCTAGGTGAGCAGACACTCCCCTGCAGCAGGGCGAGCTTTCACCTTGGTCCCCACCGTCTCCTCCACCCCTAGAACACTGCCCCGGCCCCCAGAAATAGCAGTTGGATCCTTGGATTGAAGGATATAGACAGGGTTCGAACTCCCTCCCTTGGAACATGCAGGGGCCACGTGCAGAGCCTTCCAGAACCGTGGGCCGGAACCTGGTCTGAGATGAGGATGGTCCCTGTGGGGTGGTGTGAGGGCTGCAGCCTGGGAGGACCTGGGAAGGACGTGGGCTGTGATCTGGGCCCCAAGCTTGCCTGACAGGTAAACTTGGCCTTGCAAGTGGGTGGAGGCCTGCCTGTTCCTTACCCGCCTGCTTCGGGGGGTAAGGGGGGGGTGGGAGGGGAAGCTCGAGGGCAGTGACCTGGGACCAGTGGCTTCGCGTGGCTCTTCTGGTGTCTGTGGGCATTTGTCCCTGCAGTCAGTTGACAGGGCATCTAGAAACCTGCCTCTTGTGGACTTCTTTCAAAAAGAGTCTGTCTTTTAGACGGTCTTCTTGAAAAAAACAACTTCTGGAGGCCTTTTTTAAAACTTGTATTCCTGGGCGCAGGGCATACAGTTCACATTTGTGCAAGTTCAGCGCGTTCAGTGACGGCCTCTTTGCCTTTCAGCTTTGGAGTTGGGCACCATGCTGAGCCCGCGGAGGGGGCTGCGGGGGGCGATGACCCCGTGACTGTGACCGGCCGCCGCTTCTCACTTGGGTCCTCTCGGTCCAGCCAGGCGGCCACCAGACACCCAGAGCCCCAGAAAACCCCGACAGGTAAGCTCTGTTTGGTTTCTTTGCAGGGGACAGGTCTGTTCACTGTTGATTAAGGGGAGATCGGTAAATGCATCTTATTGCATCAGTAAGTGCATCTTATTGCATCAATAAATGCAGGCAGAGGCATCTCACTAGGCGCTTCCTTTCCAGGTTTCTGAAGGGAGCCTCCACCTGCTCTGTGGCTTCCCCCCTTTCCCATCTTTGAGCTGAGGTGGGTGTGGGTGGGAGATCTCGAGGGGGTGGGTCCGGGTCCTGCAGACCCCGCTCTGTGCCGCCTGCCGTGCTGCTCACTCATTCCAGCCTCCTTGCTGGAGTGGGTGGTGGTCTGCTCCCAGGTTATTCTGAGATGAGCCCTCAAGAGTTGGCAGCTGGTAGTTTTAGAGCTGGGCCAGAACAGAACCGGGGTGGAGGGCCGTACTCAGACTGTTTTCCAACCCTGTGTTTGGGGGTCTTCCTACTTTTAGCACTGCAACTGGGGGCACATACATCATGAAGGTCTAGGGCAGGTGCTGGCCCCTCCTGCTTCACTGCTTCCTGAGGTGGCCGCTCTGGGGATGGACCTTCTCTCTCAACCCAGCCGGCCAGGGGCTGGATTCTTATGTTGCTGTTGGGGGTCTGAGATGGTAGTTAGAGAACTGAGGCTGGAATGGTCTTCCAGCAAAGGCGCCTGCGGGGGAGCCTTTGCTCCTACTGGAGAGTGTATCAGTCAGCTCAGCCGCCATAACAAATACCACATTCTGGCTCACAATCATGGAGGCCAGAAGTCCAAACTCCAGGTGTGGGCAGGGCTGGTTTCTTCTGAGTTCTCTATCCTGGGTGTGTGGATGGCCGTCTTCTCCCTGTGTCCTCACATGATGTGTTTCTGTGTCCTCTTCTTATAAGGACGCCGTCATATATGGGAACAGGGTCCCTGTGAAGACCTCATTTTACCTTAATTACATCTTTAAAGATCCTGTCTTCAAGCACAGTCGCATTCTGAGGTCCCGGATGTTAGGGCTTTAACATGGTGCTGTTTGAATTTACCCCCTAACAGAGGGGAACCGCAGACCAAGTGGCTGACAGGGCTGGGGGATTGGGGCCCGCAGTGCTGGTGTGAAGGCTGTGGCTCTGTCCATGTCCATCTTGCCTCCCTCTCCCTTTCGCATTTCATTTCTCCACCTCTTCCTTTCTGTTGCCTACCTGCTGACCTTTTACTCCCCTCGGGGTTTCCTTTACTGTCCACAGAGCAGAAAAGAAGGGTTTTTAATCCTTTGTGTTCACTGGGTTCATTCAGCAGATGCTTCCTGAAGAGTCAGCCTTATCTTAGAGGTCGAATAACATTGTACATAACCTGTTCCAAGTTCAAAAAGTGCACATGTGAACTTTCCGTGTTTCTCTCCAGATGGTGGTCAGGACAGTTGATTTTTTCCTGGGGTGTGACATTCTTAATGAGGCTTCTCGAACTTTCTCGAACTCTCATGGCCCTTGTGGTGAACAGCTTGTGCCTTCAGACAGGCTGCTTTTTGTGAAGCAGGGGGCTTTACCCTCTTCTCCCAGAAGAGGTGAACAGAGGTCACAGAAGTGCTCAGTCTCCCAGGAGAATGAATTATAGTGAACACACGTGCTCTGTGGCTGATTACAGCGCCACCTCTTTGGTGTCCGAGGCCCAGGGCGCAGGTGCTGGCCACCGGGGGCTTTGTCTTGTCTCTGCGTGAACTGCATGGTGCGCAGGGAAGACCCCTGCAGGGTGGGGTCTGGATGATGCTATCGCGCTGGCTCTCTGCTCCTTTGTGCTGCTTTCTCTTCATCTGTGACCCTGAGCCCTTCTGAGTGGTCCTGAGATGCCTGGAGGGTGGGGACTGTGTATGTTTCTGGCGAGCCTTCACAGAATCAGAGAGACACGTCTGAAAAAGGCAAGAAACACCCCTGAGCACCCTGAGACCACACTTCTTGGAGCACCTGACCAGCCTACACCTCCTGTCCTTCTGGTCAGATCAGTCAAATGCAAAGACGTGAGCCTGTGGGTTCTGACGGCCTGGCCAGGCACCTCTCGGCATGGACACAACATTGAAATGAAGCCTCGTTTCACAGTTAATCCTGTTTGGGGCTTGAAATCTAATTATCAATGCAGTTTAAGTAGTGGGGTCTGCTGGTGTGGAAGGCGTCGCGCGGGGCTTCTCTCGCTCACCTCCGAGGGTGGGAGCTGCGTCTGTGGCCGCCCCGGTCCCCAGAGGGATCAACAGGTGTAGTGACTAAAGGGTGGCCCCAAAGATTGCCCTGGGGTGGGGAGTGGATTTCCAAAACTTTTTCAGCCCCAGATCGCTTCCTTGACCTGGGCTCTCTCCCCGCATGAGTGTGCCCCTGTTTCTTCCCTGTGTCACCATGACACCTCTTCCCCAGGGATGAGAAAGTCTTCAACTTTTTAAAGCCAGTTTGTATTATTCTGTGGCTGCACACTGCACCCTTAGACCTGGCCAGACAGAGTTGGGGGGCAGGGTGGGCTCCACGCTCAGGCCATTGCCGTTGGCCATCTGAAATGTGCATCTCCTCCAAGGCAGTGCCAACCTCTAGGGGGCAGGGTGGAGCCCCTTTACACCCTTGATGAGCCCCTGCAGTAAAGGGAACACATTGGACCAAAGTTAGACTCTGCTTACCTGAGCACATTAAATAATGTGTCTGATTGAAACCATTAGTAGATTTGTTCTCACTTCCCTGACTTTTTTCTACTCATTCTGTAAGTTCCTCGTTAGCACCCATGTGGTTGGTACCAGGTCTGACTAGGCGCTGGGGCCACCTTGGTCTGCATACACGGGACACACCTTAGTAGCAAAACTCCATAAAGAACTCATGTTCTGGGGCTTCCCTGGTGGCGCAGTGGTTGAGAGTCCGCCTGCTGATGCAGGGGACACGGGTTCGTGCCCCGGTCCGGGAAGATCCCACATGCTGCGGAGCGGCTGGGCCCGTGAGCCACGGCCGCTGAGCCTGTGCGTCCGGAGCCTGTGCTCCACAATGGGAGCGGCCACAACAGTGAGAGGCCCACATACGGCAAAAAAAAAAAAAAAAAAAAAAAAAAAAAAAAAAAAAATTTAAAATCC